TATAGGAATGTAAAAATTGTTTCTGATTATATAATGATAGTATCAGGAATTATACATAGCTAAGCATTTCAAGAACCATTTTTAATTTGTGCAAATTTTAAGAAAGGGAAATTACATTTTTATTCTTACAACTTTCATGGCCACTGGCAGAATATATTACAGTAATACAGGAGAAAAGGACTTAAATTTGATGTCATAATTATTGGCTCTCTGTTCGGAAGAATGGGATTCCAACAATTGCAAAGAGCATTTTGGCAGTGACAGACCCTCCACACAGATCCCTACTTCATTCTTCCAGAGCGCATTGCTGGTCAGAGAGGATGCATTTATGCTTCAGCTCCAGATCCAGCCATCAGCAAAGCTGTGCATGATTTTAGAAGGACAGGACTTGGTCTTACGCTATATCAATTGTCCCATCCACACTCTCCTGTTCTAATTCTGTTTAAACTAGAAAGTGATATGAATGAGAACATAATGCCTTAATGTACTTCAGAGTAAGTAGGAAAACATCACAAATCTAAAACTCCTCAAGATCTGACAGGAAGGTCAAAGAATGATACACAATACACAGTGTACTGCTAGCCAATGCCACTCTAAACTCATCTCGGGGAGTTCAAGGTGATGAAACTCTGAAAGTTTCTCTGATTTAGCTTTAGAAGAATGGCAGCTGTTGTTTCCAGGCTAAATCAGAGCAGTTCTGCCAGTAAATCTGAGAACTTAAAAGTCTACAATATTTCTTGTAGGTTGTTCTCGTTTTTTAATCGATAAGAACCATGCTTATGGAGTATTGTATCTATTAAGAATTAATTTGTAACAAGATAGCAGACAATAATTTTCTGTTAAGTCCCAATTGTATCAACGTTTAAAGTTGTGAATTATCTGAGGAAGCATTTTATTTATATTTGGGGCCTTTTTTTCTCTGGTGAATGGACCCCTAAGCATTTTCCAGATGAAATTCAGAGCCCAACATAGATAATATTTGCAGTAGGCCTATTTTTTATTACCTTTTTCTTTTGAATGATACTATTATCACATACTAGTGGAGACTGAGGTGTTAAAATATCCCTGTGAATCACAGAATCATAGGGGTTGGAGGGGACTTCCAGAGATCATTGAATCCAACCCCCAAGAAGAAAGAAGATCCAGCCTTCTTGGAGATTCACAGCCAGGGACATCTCTCAGCAGAGATGCAAACTGATAACTTGTCAGTGATGTCAAGAGTCAGGGCAGACAGAGGTACTGGTGTTTGCATCACTCTTGCATAAAGCTGACTAGTCACAGATGCTATGTTAGGCTACTGCCCATGAGCAGCAACAAAAGAAAATACAACACAGAACACAAGCCATTAAAGTATATTTTATTGTACAGTAATTTTCAATACAGAGAATGCAGCTCTTTTCAAACATATACAAAATCATAGTGGACGCATACCACTGTTTGGATTATAAACAATATAAAGTTTTTAAAGTTTTAACAATTTAGGGCCTTATTTACATATATTTGCTTTATTAAAAGCTGGCATGTGCAATTGGCACTGAATTTCTTCCCCATACTAGTAAGAAAATACACTGCTGTTTTAAACACTTCACTGCAGTGTGAACCTCAACAGTTTGTGTTTATTGGCTACTCAGCCACTTGATTAATGAGATTCATTTCATATACATGCCCTTATAGCTCTAACTCAAAGGGCAGAAACAGTAGGAAATTGACTCCACTTTACAAACAATATAATGCATTTTCACCTGCATTCTGGATACGACCGAGCCAAATTCTCTTTAACCACGGGGAAGGTTTTCTCACAAAACAAGAAATGTGGGAGAAAAAAAAAACAGGCAATGATCAATAACAATGTTACCAGTCCTAGGGAAGTCAGCAAGAAAGGATTTGACCAGATACTAATACAGCAGGAGAAAAATACTATGGGCTTTAGTGCTGCAAAAAAGTTTCTTCAACCCATAAGAAGCCTGAACGTGATCAGAGGGACAGCATCATGCTACAACAAATCTGGAAAAAAAACAGTGGTAAAGGACATCTGAGCTGAAGATGAGATACTGGATTTATTTTAATTTTTTTTCATTACTTATTACAGTAAGAAACATCTTGGAAGTTTCTTCTTATAATAATAAAGACTGTAAAGTCTATTAAAACTATAGAGGAAATAACTCCCTTTTGTTTATGAATCAGGATCTTTCACTGCTTTCACATGCACGTCTGCATGATGCTCCTTGAAGGAGTGGCCTGTATTTTCCTTGGAACATTTTAACGGGCATATAGATACAAAACTGTTACTTATTTTTCCTAAAACAAAAGAGGACTTTGCAGTCAGTACAAAAATAGATACACTGAAACCGTCAATCCATGTTAGGCCATAATTACATATTTAAGAATAATTAACCAAACGTGCAGCATTAAAGCATTAATGTAAGTCACAGGGCGGTTAGAACACTCATTTGATCCCAACATTTCCAGAGTCTCTTAACAGAAATTCTTTCCACAGAAATGTGCACTATGCCACAATTAGAAAAGGTCAAAAACAATACAGGAAAAATAACACTTCCATATCAACTGAAAATACATATATATATATTTACAGATTGTGAGGAAAGACATGAAAAGCCTTTCCTTTCTGAATAAATATATGTATTAAGGGAATGCATCCACTAACTAAAAAAATAGCTTTGTATCATTAAGTGAACAGTTCTCAAGTACTGTGTAAAACAATAAAAACATTTAAAGTACAATAGTGCAACTATGTCAGAGCATAAAGCTGATAGATGTCACTTTAAATTTCAGGTAGAAGGCAAGGTAACTTTTTAAAGCAGAACAATGGAAAACCTTAAATATTTGTTATTTCCATGTATAAATGCATGCCTTTGTTTCTACATTGAAATAAATATTTTTATTCCAAATTCTTTTGCTTTAACACAAATTCATTCTACCTGATAGTATGTGAATATTCAGACTTGATGGAGCTGATCATCACAGAATTTCTAAAAACAGTTCAAACTGAGCTATAGCTATATCCCCATTCAGTAGTGCTTTTTCCAGTAATCAATTGTACATTGATCATAAAACTACTCCAAGGTAAAACTTTGTTATCAGTTTCCAACCCTGAATCTTATTTAAAAATAAAACACTGTTGCTTTACACGGCACACATTCAAATTACGTAACTTACAAAGTGATTCAGTTTATATAGCTTGGCCAAACAACACAAGACAGATTTTGCTCATTAAAATAAATGAGAGAAAGTATCCAAAATACCCAGGAGAGAGAAAAAGTAAGTCTCTGAACACATGTCCTTCAACCTGGTTCTCCACAGGGTAAGAACCTTCACACACCATTCTGTATGAAAAGAACCTTGGCTGTGAAAGGAATTACTGCACACACACACACAGGCTAACTTCAAAGATCTGAAAGCCACATTTGTCAGGGACACTCTGCAATGAATTACACTGTTGAAGAGAAGAAGGTAGACAGCGATCTTTCAGCAGCCTACAGCAACTGAAATTGTATGATCTATTCAGCTACTGATAGTTACCACAGCCAAATTGTTCTTGGCACAGCAGGTGGTACCAAAAAGGGGAAACAGATTCATATTCTTACATAGTGGTTTATTTTTAAAATAAATAATGGGAGATTCAAGTTCATTGTTAGGGGGAAATGTTTTACTAAGAGAGTGGTGAGGCATTGGAACACACTGCCCTGAGTAGGTCTAGATGCCCCATCCCTGGAAGTATTCAAGACCAGGTTTGATGGGACCCTGAGAAACCTGATCTGGTGTGGGTGGCAACCCTGCTTAGGGCAGAAGGTTTCCTTCAATCCAAGCCATTCCATGAGTCTACAATTCTATGACTTATGATGATAGAAATATCTACAATTTCTACTACATTATATGAATTTTGGGAACTAAGACAAGCAGTAATAACTCAGATCTTAGAAACCCTTGCACCTAAAAAACTAACATTTACTGCTGAGTATCTTGGAAATTTCTTACAGTCAGGCAACAATATTCTCATTAACATACGTGGCTGCCATTCATTCCGGCAGTTTCTTTCAGTGAACAATTCATACAGATGTTTGTGTGTGTGCAATAATTCTTTCACCTAAAACTTGAAAAATGCATAAAGAATTTACATTAGAACAGACTCCTCTGTACCATTACAATCACTCAATTAATGTCTGAATAAAAAACTTTTGAAAAACACAGGAAAATTACAATCCACATCTCTCTATTACGCTGTCAATGGTCTAGTCTAAACACACAGAAGGGTACTGAAACATTATTTCATCTCATCCTGCTTATCACAAGTATTGTAGGTCTCTCTAGAATTTGGAACTCTAATGGTCCATGCAAATGTTCCTTTCGCTATTAGCTGTGTAGGATTAGAAATAAAGTCTACTTCTGAGTTCCCAATCAAATCTCAACTCTTCAATTTAAATAAATTCTAACTCACTGCTGTAAAATTACACCAGTAGCATACATATCTTCTCCTAATGAACTATTCCACTTTTTGTCCTGAACTTGATTTACCTGTAAGTGGACGATATTTTAATGGCTTTGGGTTTTCTTGGGAAATTTTTCATGAATGTGTAAGTCAAGACCTTCAAAAAACTAGGTACACAAATATGAGCAAAAAGATTAAATTAATTCACATTCTTGGCAGAACTTTTTTTCTGTTCCTATGAGTGATATATGATACTGTACTACCACATTCTGTAAGAAATAATGAGCCCAAAAAGAAACCCAAAAAGGAACCAGGTAAAGGAGATAAAATATAATAGAGTGTTACATGCACTGGCTACTGTAGCATTGATTTTGAGCTTGCTTCGCTGAATTTCCTTGCTTAAGAAAAGTGAAAACAGAGAGTAAGGGTCAAAGCAAGTGTATAAACATGAATTTCTAGAAAGTACTGTCTGGATTTTTTCCATGATGTCCAACCTAAACACACAAATGTATAAAACCATAGAAAAAAAAAGAATACATAATTGAAATCCTTTCTTTTCTTTTCTTTTCTTTTCTTTTCTTTTCTTTTCTTTTCTTTTCTTTTCTTTTCTTTTCCTTTCTTAATATACAAATTGCTTATGCCAGGAAAAGTGTCTGTGACTTAAACATTACAGCAGTTTTTCATGAGTGCTGATTTTTTGACAGGTGTCCCAGCCAGGTTGGTTACTGACCTCGTATCATCTTGATTATCACTCCGTTTTCTCACTTCACTGTGAAAAAAAAAAAAAAGAGAAAAAAACAGCCACACAATAAAAATGCAGTCAATTAATGTGTTCTTATTGAAGCCCAAGTTTACTATTTTGTTTCTTCCAGTATATCTCACACAGTTCAACATCAGCTAACTACCTGGAAAATATTATTGGAATCTTTAGTCCACAGAATCAACATGTCTTCTAAGATTTCATTCAGGAAACTGAATCAATATTTCCATACAAATCACTGTACATATGGTTTCTGATATGTAAGTATTCCACAATATTCTTTTTTCCCTTTTATTTTCTTTTGCTCATTTTTCTTTAATGTTTTTGCTTCAGTGTATTTCTATAACAGATTACATTCAAAGCTGAAGATAAAAAAACAAAAAAACTAAACAACTGCAATTTCAAGTATGAATTCATCCTCAGAGGAAAAACACAAACTGGATGTGTTGTACACAGACTCAAAAGTTGTGTACATATGAGAAATTCCGTATCTTTACAGAGCCACTGTGATAAGGCCTTCTAGAAACTCAAAAGCAGGTTCTAGAATGTCTTGCCAATATGTATATGTATTATATATATATATGTATAAACATACATATATTTAAGTCCTCCTTGTATCAGTAGAATAAATTTATGAAGTTGGGAGAATTTTAAATTCAGAGCAACATATTATTCAACAAAACAAACCATAGGAGAAAGGAATCCTACAAAGAAGTAACAGGTTAGTCTGGAGGACTATCTGCTCTAATGATATGTTTTGTTAGTATTTTTTTTTCTTCAAAATAAAATGTTTCTTTCAAAGAATAAGTATTACTAACTCAAGAAATTGCAGCCAACCATTCCAGACCAAGGTTCTAGGTAAAGTATAGAGCATTTAAGAAACTATGAACCTACCAAAGAAAAAAAAAAATTGGAGGTTCTGAAAAGAAATGCTGCAACTGCCAAAATGTTTTTATTCTTGAGGAAGTTAAACAAATCTATCATGTTTAAATATTAGAGAGAATTTTCCAACTGTGATTAATGTTAGGTAACTGTTAAGTACGCTCGCTAATTTATTAAGTCACAGGTTCCTGGAAATGAGTCATTTAAATCAGCTATTAATATTGACACGAACAGAAAAACAATACACCTGTGCTCATGCAGCATCTCCAGTTGGGTTGTTTTCTTGGAAATACATGTGTTCTTGAAGACCAAATGTGAAGAAGCAATGATGCTCTCCAAAAAAACAGTTTGTTTTTTTTTTTTTTTCAGGCCATGTTTTAACAATGAACAAACAAATACTGACCAAATGCCATAAAGTTTGATTACTGCATGAGTAAGTAAAAAAACAAATTAATACAGTCATAATTGTAGCCTTGAGTTTGATGATTAAAATTGAGAAATCTGAGCCCGAGGATTTCTTACTGCCAGGCTTTCAAAACACTGCAATACAGAACTTTGGAAAAGTTGTAAAAGTGTAATGTTTGATTCACATTCTTCACAGAAATGCCACATTGCTAAATGGATGTAATGCCAAGTTCTGTCTTTTAAATAATTTAGAGAAAGTGACATCAAAGAAAATATGAGATTAGAATGATCAGGAATAAAACTGAACATGTGTTAATAGATATGACAGAATTAAGAGTTAATTATATGCATAATTATAAGTGTTAGAAATTGATCTATGTATATGAAAGAATTAAGAAAGTAAATCCATGTACCATTAAACATATCATTCATTCACCAAGTTTTAAAATTGTTAGGTCCATAACTAAGTTCTAATTTATAGATCGATAAATAAGACAACTATGTAACATTTGTAAGCAAAACCACTGACTACACTGAGAATAAAACCTGCTTCACACGTCTCTATAGATTCAACATGGCATTCCTTTTCTAATTTAATTTGTTGAACGTGATGTTGGGACAATTTTAAATATGTACATGCATGTCTTTGTATGTCTTCTATATATAATGTCTATTTTATAAAATATATTCAGCTGTGCTTCTTTGAAAATAGAAACATGACTACTTACCGAGCAAGATGAAGAACTGCTTCTACAATATTAGAACCATCTTTAGCACTTGTTTCACAGAATAGAGCATTGTAAGTCTGTGAGCAAAAAATAAGATGTTAAGCCAACTCATCTGAAATCAATCTGATTTGGATATGTATATTTAATTTAAAGTGATTTCCTCAATAATAAAAGGCATGATTACACATGCATTTAAATGAACAAGATTTCCTCTGGTATTCCTCATTCTCCAATATATTCACTTCAGTACAGAAAAAAAAAAAAAAAAAAAAAAATTGCTTTTTAAATGCAATTATTTGCTGTAACAGCAATATTCAGTTATATTACTACATAATTAGTAAATTATTTTATGTTTAGTATATTCTGAATTAACAAACCGAGTTTAAAACATATAATAGGCTCAATGTCTGAATTCAATCATTTTGTCCAGAGGTCTCCAAAATAGAAAGAGTTGCTAGGACAGGTTACTGAATTCAGCCTGTTACCCACTTATAATCTGCATCATTCCAGTACTCTAGCTCAACCTACAGCTTAACCAGAAACATAATTCCATAATTATCAGCCATAATTATCAGCCATGCTACCTGTCCTGATACAATAAATTGTACAAGCAATTTAGAAGAAGAGCAAGATGGCGAAGAGTCTAGAGGAGAAGAACTATTTGGAGTGGCTGAGGTCCTTGTGTGAGTTCAGCCCAGAGCAGGGCAGGCTGATGGGAGGCCTGATGGCAACTCCTCACAGGGAGCAGGGAGGCAGCATCGAGCTCTGCCTCTGTGACAGTGACAGATTCCAAGGGAATGAGATGGAGCTACATCGCATGAAGTTCATATTGGTGTATTTGGTCTGGATGCAGTTAACCTTCCCCACAGCAGCCAATATAATATAACATTATGCTCTACATTTGTAGCAAGAAGAGTGTTGATGTCACACCAATGTTTTATTGTTGCTGAACAACAGTGGCAGAGCGTAAAGACTATCTCCAAATGACTCCAAGCAAAAACAGTGGGTTGAGGATAGCTGACCCAAACAAAGTAAAAGGATATGTCATATCATACCATATGTCATACTCAGCAATAAAATGAGGAAAAGAGGGGAAAGAAAGGAGGGCAGGACAGAGGAGACTTCTCGTCATGAAAAAACCAGTCTTCCCAAAAAACTGCTATGCATATGGAGGCCCTGCTTCCCAAAACATGGCCAGAAACTGCTTACTAATGGGAAGTACAAAAGAAATGCTCAGTCTCCGTCTCTGCTTCTGCATGGCTTTTGCATGGTTGTCTTTTTTTCCTTATTTGCCCTTTAGTTAAATTATCCTTATCTCAACACATAAGCCTTCTTTTTCCGTCATATTTTCTCCTTCCCACTTCCTTTAAGAGTCGTCATGAATTCAGCTGTCCATCTGGGTGAAATCATAGCAATTGGAAAAGATTCCCATTTACAGTGGTCATGGCACCAATACTGCAAGAGTTCTAGAAAAATTTGGATACTGCCCTCAGAAATATGGATTTTCATGGAATATTGAATTTTGGATGATTAGATGTGGAGACAGGAGATGAATTTGATAATCCTTGTGTGTCATTAGAACTCAACATATTATACGATTCTAAACCAGACTAAGATTCTCATCTGCCTACTAGTGAGCTTCATTTCAGTGGCAAAATTCTATTGCCAATTTCCTATTGGAGATTAAAAAACTTTGTCTCCTGGTCCATTCACCTGAAAAACATGAAGGCTGAGAAGAATATCCCAGAAAGTGAAAAAGTTCAGCTTAGCTGCACTGAGGCAAAATTTAGCTCAGCAAGAACCATCAAAATAAATAAAAAAAGCTTTCATGAAAATTTTTCATGAATCCTAATAACAAGATCTGAACAAGTGACCAGTAAATGACTTTTGTTTACAAGTTATTCACAGAGTTTCCAGATTAAGTTATTAAAACCATTGTATACTGAAAAGATAGTCATTGATCTTACCATAGCCAGCTTTTCTCCATAGCTTATAGGTACACATTTTTGCCCTTGTTCTGTAACTGCTTGGCGAAGATCTGCTTTGTTTCCTACCATCATAATTGGAATATTCTCATGAGTTGCATCCTGTAAAGAAATTTCTTTTCCTTATTGCTAAAATTCTCAGAATAAAAAAAGTTAACTAGCATCGTGTCATAGTGATTTCCTTCCCACAAAAATTCCTATGAGCTACCAAAAAACACATAATTTTATATGTTATATAACTGTTCTGAGAGAGTACATTCTTCAAGAAGCCAGTTTAAACATCAGCCTGCAGAGATATGCATCCATACTCATTAACTCTGTTACACAACCATGAATTTAATGTTCTAAGAGAAATAGTTATATCTAAATGCTTTATGATAAAACTACTGTGGGAAGAGTGATCAACTTCTATGTTATTATTTAAAAAAAAAATGCCTTAAGGAAAGGAATTTTGCTTACAGTTTACCTCCAATTAAATAACTGTGGCACAACAAAAAAAACTCTTTTCATCAAATTCAAATTTGTATTAAAATAAGCAAGTAGTAGCAGACCGCAGTAGTGAAAATTTCAGCTGGAGAATGGCTAGTTTTTAATATTGATTTAATATATTGATTTAAAACGCAGGAGCTCCAAGGAATAGTCAAGCCATCCACAGGAAGGTATCTGAAATGGGCTCTCATGTTTCTTCCAAAAGGAAGTGAACAGGAACAGTGATGATCTTTCATATTAAAAATGCATTAGTTTTAACACTAAGCATATCAGAAGATACTCTAATAACATTAGAACTTCCATTTAGTTTGCACTTACACAAGAGACTGCAGCTTGGCTAATTCCTGAGTTACACGAGTTTTACCTATTAAGCAAAACAATCTAAAATGTCTCTGGAATTCTAAAGCAAAGAATAAGATTTCCATACTTTCTTTTTCCAGATAGTCAGACAGTGAAACACAGTTTTAAAGTTGCAGATATTTAAGATACTTACCCCAATCATATCAATCCATTCTCGCACATTAAGAAAGCTTTTTTCACATGTTACATCATATAAGAGTAAGACACCATCTGCTCTTCTGAAGTACGATTTAGCAATACTTCGGAATCTTTTAAGGAAAAAAAAAGACTTGTGTAAGGCTAAGGAGTTACACTGCAGAGTGTAGCAGAGTGGATTACTCTGCTACATTTGAAAAAATACGAAGCAATAAACTTCCAGGAATTAACTCCAGGAATTAATTCACCAGTTTTAATTGTCTTTTGACATAGCACAATCTACTTAGCAACTGTACAATAACTAGGTAATTACATTACACATCAAAATATTCTTCACAAATTTATTATGTGGGAGGGGAATGAATGTGCCTCCAACTTCCCATGTCTCATAAGCACTCTTTTAGGTAAAAGTAAATATACACAGACCAGTACAGAGCTTTGCCACTGAACAGATAAAACTAACTTGGATTTGTCCTGTTCAGTATCTTATTGATGACCTGGATGAGGGCACTGCGTGCACCCTCAGTAATTTTGCAGATGACATCAAGTCAGCAGGAAGTGTTGGTCTGCCTCAGGCAGGAAGGCCCTAATGAGAGATCTGAACAGGTGGATTGCTGGGCTGAGGCCAGTGAAATAAAGCTCAACAAGATTAAGGGCAGGTCTGCACTTTAGCCACAACAAACCCAGTCAATGCTACAGGCTTGGGGCAGAGTGGCTGGAAGACTGTAGAGGAAATGAACCAAGGGGTATTGGTTGATGCTCAGCTGAATATGAGCCAGCAGTGTGCCTACTTGACCAAGAAGGCCAATGGCATCATGGCTTGTATCAGAAGAAGTGTTGCCAGCAGGAGCAGGGAACTGAACATCCCTCTGAACTCAGCACTGGTGAGGTTGCACTTCAAGTACTGCGTTCAGTTTTGGCCCCTCACTACAGGAAAGACACTGGGGCCCTGGAGGTGTTCAAAGGGCAGTGACACCAGAGAAGAGTCTGGAGCACAAGCCTGATGTGGAGCAGCTCAGAGAGATGGGATTATTTAGTCTGTAGAAGAGGAGACTCGGGAATGATCTTATAGTCCTCTACAACTACCTGAAGGGAGGTTATAGTGAGGTGTGAGTTGGCCTCTTCTCCCATGTAACTGGCAATAGGACTAGAGAGAATAGACTCAAGTTACACCAGGTGGTTCAGGTGGGATATTAAGAAGTACTTCTCTGAGTGCAGTCAGGCACTCCCAGGGCTGCCCACAGAGGTGATGGAGTCATTGACCCAGGAGATTTCCAAGAAATATTTAGAGGGGCATGGTTGCACTGAGGGACATGGTTTAGTGGAAAATATTGGTGATATGTAAACAGTTGGACCCAATGATCAGAGAGATCTTTTCCAACCTTGGTGATTCCATGATTCTATGATTTCCAAAATCTTAGATTAAAATTGTAATGAGCCCTACAAGATGTCAGTAAAGTAACGGCTCTGCAAATAAGTGACATAGGATTTTGTGAAAATTCTACATAGAAAATCAAAGAACTTCAGTTGCATACTTAGTAATCTATACAATTCCCCTGTACATTTTCTGAGTATCTGGGAGAAGAAAGATTTTTCATATACTGAATTCAGTGCAAATCAGGATCAGGAATTTCAAGGAAAATATAAGTAAAAAGTATCTCAAATATAAACCATCAGAAATGCAGATGTGTAAGGTCAAAGACAGCGATAGGATAAAAATCTAGATGAAAAAATCCAAATTTAATTTAGAAAAAAAAACAAAACACTGAAATGACTTAAATTGCAGGTAGTCACCAACCTCTCCTGCCCAGCTGTGTCCCACAGTTGTAGCACTGTAGGTTCTCCATCAACAATTAACCTTTTCATTTGAAAATCGACACCTGAAAAGAATAATTTATATAGTCTAAGAAAAAACATTAACAACTTTAAAAAATCCACAGAAAGTTAAATGTTATGCTGCATATAAGAGGTTATAGCAGTTATTTCAAACTACATTGCTTGTACTAAATAGAGTTCTACTCATATAGTGCTGAACTGCAATAATCCCCTGAATATGGAAATACATATTTAATCTGTCTTTAGAAAAACGTTTAAAGGAATATTAGAACCAGATATTTTCCCAGAAACATTGATACAAATTTAGCATTATGACCAACTAACAAGATCCATCTGAACTTCATTTTGCAAAGCTCTCCTATAGGTGAAAATATTTCATAAGACAGACTTTATTTCAAATCCCAACAAAGGGAAAAATAAATTATAACAAAAATATAAGAAAAATCCTAAGTTTGAGCCAATAAAGCAAATACATAACTATGACTTGACTGGAAGGCAAAAATTCAGTCTTTGGAAACAGTAAATCAAGTTTGTCATCTGGCAGCTGGAGCAATATATACAATAAGCCAGTCAGAAATCCCTCCAGCTCCAATGACGCTTTGAAGAAATGGAGATCAAGAACAATATAGAGAGAGAACAATATATAAATATATATAATAAATATATATAAAGAACAATATAACAATACAATAAAGGATATTGTGCAAGACTAAAGAATGAGAAGACCAGATGGCCACAAATACTGTGAAAAAGCCTGAACATAAATTCTAAACTCATTACATTGAAATTCCCTTTATTGGTACTTTGATTTGTTCAGCAACAGACTTCGGCTTCACAAAGAATAACTAGATCATAGTTCTATCCCATTTTCCACTCCAAATACCAGTTAGTCAGTTCTATGCTTTAATGCTCAATTAGCACTCACCATCTGAAGACTGCAAGTATACTCAGAAAAACCTAGAAATCATAGGAGGTAATCTTTTCATCCACTACCTTTGCATAACAACAGCAATATTCACTTTAGTATTTAAGAAGAACAACAACAGTACCGAGGGTTGCACTGGTATTGCCTCTAAATTCATTCTTGCAAAGTCTCATAAGGAAACTAGATTTTCCCACTGCTGCATCCCCAGCAAGAACAATCTTGTAAGCCTTCTCTGAACTTGGGTATTTTGGAGTACATTCTGTTGCATCTGACTGAAAAAAAAAAAAAAAGGAAAAGAAAAAAACAAAACACCTGATTCATCTCATATAAAACTAATTAAAATACAGTTCATTTTTTGTTTGCTTGTGTTTTTTTGTTTTGTTTTTTTCCTAGAGAACTGGTTACCTGAGGAGTCAGAGCAGATATGTATTTCCTTGTTGAAGCAACTGAGCTGCTTCGACTTACTGGTCTTGAGGATTTCCAGTCTAATATTGTACTGCTGTTATCAGGACTGTATGCTTCTTCATCCCTGATCTCAGGAACCTGAAAGTATAAGTCAACGTGTTAAGTTCAGTGCAAAAATATGCTTTAAGTTCAGTGCAAAAATATGCTTTCTGCTTGCAGTGATACAGCTAAAAGTGATTGAAACCTTTTTTTTTTAACAGTTTGGATTAAATAATGAACCTAACTCAACTGTGCAATTCCAGCTAAAACTCAAAGGAAAGGTAACTGATGTAGACTACCTGAACTTATGCAAGGCCTTTGACACAGTCCTACATCAAGTTCTTATCTCTAGACTGGATAGAGATAGATTTGAAAAGTGGACTATTAAGTGGATAAACAATTGGTTGGATGCTTGTAGGCAGAGTTGTTATCAATTGCTCTATACCCAGTTGGAAACTAGTCATGAGCAGCACCCCTCAGGGTCCTGTCTCAGGACCAGTGCTCTTCAAGATTTTTATCAATGACTTAGACCATGAGATTGTATATCCTCAGTAATTTTGCTGATGACACTAAGAGTGGTGCAGCCAATACAACAGAAGAAGGGGAATGCCATTCAGAGGGATATAGACAGGCTTGAAAAGTGGGACCATGATAATCTAATGATGTTCAGTAAAGCCAAGTGCAAGAGCTGCGTCAATCTTAGATATGAGTACAGACTGGGATATGAACTCCTTGATAGCAGCCCTGTCAAGAAGCATTTAAGGGTCCTGATAGATGAAAAATTTAAAATGCGCAAGCAGTGTGCACTTGCAGTCTGGGAGGCCAATGGTATCCTGAGCTGCATCAAAAGAAGGGTGGCCAGCAGGAAGAGGGAGGTGATTGTTCACCTCTGTTCTGCCCTTGTGAGGCCCCACCTGGAGTACTGTGTCCAAGCCTGGGGCCCCCAGCACAGGAAGGATGTGGAGGTGTTGGATAGGGCCCAGAGGAAGGCCACGAAGATAATCAGAGGACTGGTGCACCTCTGCTATGAAAGGTTGAGGGAGCCAGGATTGTTTCACTTGGAGAAGACTCCAGGAAGATCTCATTGAGATTTTTCAGTTCTTGAAAGGTGCTTAGAAACAGGAGGGGCACCAGCTTTTCACACAGGTATATAATGATAGGACAGGGGGAAGGAATTTAGGTTAAAAAGGGGAAGTTTAGGTTAGATGTTAGGGAGAAATTCTTCACTCGGAGAAAAGGTGTGAGACACTGGAACAGCCTGCCCAAAAAAGTTCTGGACAACCCTACCCTGGAGGTGTTCAAGGCCATTCTTGATGAAAAAAAGGCAATAATTTCAAGGCTTATTAAACAAACAAAAAAATCCCCACATATAACCCACATACTCAGTTCTGTATGGTCAATCAGCAAAGATCCATCTCATACTTGCCTCCAACCAAAGGAGCTTCCTAATGGGACAGTTAAGTCTTGTACTTACATCTGTATCAGAAGCATCACCGCCATAGTTTTCTTGCATACACTGTGGTTTTTGAAAAATTCTTTGATGCCTGTATTCCACTTCTGAATCATACTCATTTGAATCTCTCAGGGTGGACAAACCACTGTCAAAACAGCTCTCAGGTAAGCTGTCAACTTCACAGTTTGTTCTTTGCATGGGGTCACAAAGGGCTAAAGAATCATAATCTTCATCCACACAAGATGGAGATGACCTAAAAAGCAAGTATTGCAAAATAAAAACAACAGAACATATAAATTTTATTTCACAATTGTTTTGGTGTTTCATTTTTGTTTTTTCCCCAACAAAATCTACACCATTCTAGAATGTTGAATACCTACAAATGCTAACCATAACATTTAACACATATGGTACTACATTAATTTGTGTTTATAATTTTTTTTTAAAACATAGTTCTTGGATACTCAGATTACAAACTTAGTGCATGAGTCTCTGTAATAATGTTTGTTAATTTATATGCCAAAAAGAATCAGTATTGCTCTGTCCTATGGGAACAGATGTGAAGTACTTCACTGCTAGAATAGACAACATCAATAACAGTCTATAAAGATTGCTGCCAGAGAGGCTGGGTCCTTCCAGTGCACACCACAGAAGAGCCAAAATATATGGTTTTTAGGAACTTCATTGTACCAGGCAATAACACGCAGTACTGTCTAATTTTCATCTTTGCAGGCTAGTGAATAATGAAAGGAACAAGAGCTATCTTTGTTGTGGAATATCACAGTATTCATGCTCTTTGTATTCACATATCTGCTAGCCTATAGCAAATCAGTGAAATACAAATGAAGGGTACATGCTAAAACAAAGTCAAGCTTGTTAGGCATTCACTGAAATAAAAGCCTTTATTAGCAAATTTTCAGCCTTCCTGAAGCAAAGATTCATTACTAGGAATTTCATATGCACTTCAAGCAAGTTAGATCTAGGTACACTGCACAGCTAAAAAAAGAAAAAAGATACTTTCTAATGTAAATTGCTTATAACATGTTTGAATACAAATCAATATTTCAAAATGATAATCTGCTATCAGGTGACAAACTATTGAAAACTAGCAGATTTTGAGACATATCTCTTTTTGTCTTTTGACACTACTAAATCATTTCTAATCACATGCCTAATCATGCCTATTAAGTTTTATTCCTACCACATAAGCTCTTTTCTAAAGTAGTTTGGAAGGACACCACTAAACTAAGTGAGAAGTCTTGAGGATGGATGAGTATGGGGGTTGGGGAAGAAGGGGTTCTAGACAGCAGCAGGGGCCCAGGGGCTCTCTGGAGAATGGTGACTCTTCAATGTCAAGATGGAAATCGAGAATGCCTGCTGCACCGCCAATGGATATAGCGATGTTTCCAGACAAACATAATGCTATAGTGCTTGCCCAGACCTGATGGAGGTGGATCTATTGGTTCATCCTCTGGAGGTAGGTCCACCTCTACGGGCTCAACATCACTCTCTGGTGAGTCTACTTCCATTGGCTTGAGCTCGCTGCTGCTCTCTAGAAGCCTAAGTTCCCACAGTGGGAGGAAAGGGTATACCTAAGGAGCTCCTAGTCTCAAGTCTGTGCTTCCTGGCTACAAGTTTGTCAGCAAGTGGTGTTCTGTTATCAGGGTCCCTGTATTTATAGCAGTTGGCAGGCTATGGCAATAGCATCTGTTCCATGACAACCAGAACTTAGCTGTATTGGGCAAGGGGAGGCTACGGCCTGAGAGTTGTCAATGGGATTCTGCAGGGCTCCATTTTAAGGCCATTTCTCTTTAATGTTTTCGTTGTTGATTCCAATAAAGATATGGAAATTGTAATGAGTAAATTTATGGTTGATGCTAAGCTGGTACAGTGTTGAATCCCTCTGAGGTAGAGAGGTCTTGCAAGAAGATCTGGACAAATTTGAGGCTTCAGCATGAGAAAGAGCAAGTGTTGGGTTCTGCATCTGGAATGGGGCAGCCCTGGCTCTATGTGCAGACTAGGGGGTGAGGGGCTGGAGAACAGCCCTGCAAAAAGAGATTATTGTGTTCTGGTTGGTGGCAACTTGAATGTGAGCCAACAGTGCACCCTCATAGCCAAAAGAGCCAACTGTATCCTGCAGTACATCAGGACCAACACTGCCGGGTGAGGGAAGCGGTTGTCCCACTCTGCTCTGTGCTGTGTAGCCTCACCTCCAGCACTGGGTGCAGCTTTGGGTGCCACAGCATAAGATGCTATTAGAGAGGGTCCAAAGGAGGGGTACAGAAATGGGGAAGGGTCTGATGGCACAGTGTGTGAGGAGCTGTGCACTTTGGTTGTCCAGGAAGGGGGGAAATTCCTATTCAATATTGGTTTATTTAAGTTAGCATCATATCATTTGGACTGGATGATTGCCAGAACCCCCTTCTAACCCCTACAATTCTGTGATTCCATGATTCCAAGCAGCTGAGGTCTGTGGGTGCATTCAGCCCAGAGCAGGGTAGGCTGAGGGCAAGCCTGATGGTGGCTGCAGCTCCTCACAGGGAGCGGAGGGGCGGCATGGAGCTGTGTCCATGGGGTGGGGGCAGCTGGAGGTTAGGGACAGGTTCTGCACCACAAGGAAAGGGACATGGAACAGCCTGCCCAGGGCAATGGGCACACCCTGAGCTGTCACAGGTGAAAGATCATTGGTGTTTGAACAGTCCTCTGTGGAGCCTGGGGTTGGAATTGATGATCCCTGTGGGTCCCTTCCAACTTGGGTTATTCTATGATTGTATATTCTAAACATCCAGAGAGATTTTAGTTAATTTTTCCCCGACTTCAGAAAATTATTCAATCTAATATACAACTTTGATATAATTGCATCTCTCAAAATTTCTCAACAGAGGGAAACAGGTATTATCTGCATTTAGCAGAAGTAATCAGTTTGTTACAAGCAAAATTTTATAGCCTGCAAACACACAGAGACAGTACAATAGCATTTCTGAACAAATGTGGATATTACTAGTGCAAAGCAGAAGCCAACTTAATCCCTACTAAAGATTTCTGTCTCACTGGAAAAACATAAAACATAGGCTACAATCAATGTAGGGTTTGAAGTAACACAAAAAGAATAAGGTAAAAGAATTTATGAAGTGAATAAGGACACAAATACTTAATGGCATTTCCAGTTATTTCAAATAACAAAAAATGAAATAAAAATTTCACAAAATAGCATGATCTAAAGCACTCAAAGCTGAATCCAGATCTCTGTGATATCAATGAGAGCCTCTGCAATGACCTGAATATGATCTCATCAAAGAAGAGCAACAAAGCTGGTGAATGGCTTGGAGAATATGCCCTATGAGGAGCGACTGAAGGAACAGGGGCTATTTAGTCTGGGGAAAAGGAGGCTGAGGGGAGACCCTATTGCTCACTGGTGAGAGAAAGGTGACTGCAGTGAGAGTGGGATTGGTCTCCTCTCACTGTGACAGGTGACAGAACAAAGGGAAAAGGCTTCATGTTGCACCAGGGGAGGTTTAGGTTGGATATCAGGAAAAACTTCTTTACAGAAAGGGTTGTTAAGCACTGGAATAGGCTCTCTAGGAAGGTGGTTGAGTCACCACCCCTGGATGTGTTTTAAAATTGTTTGAATGTGGTGCTCAGGGACACGATTTAGTTAGATGATTTATTAGAGGTAGGGTAGTTTGGTTAGGCTGCAGTTAGACTTGATGACCTTGAAGGTCTACGATTCTATGATTCAAGGACTCTCATTCAGTAGATGTGAACCCAAAGGTTCTCCGACCAGTAACAGTATTTGTTACATAGGTAACAGAGGACGAAGGGACATTTAGACTTAAACTAAAAACATCAAGAGGTTGTCTGAATTCTCCATTCACCATTCACCATTACCACTAAATAAAATTTTTCCTGAACTTCCTGATGTCACTGAAAACATTGCTGTTGAATTCACCATACTATGGATCTTATGCTATTGCTACATATTTCTTCTAAATTATTTTCTCTTTTATTTGACAATATTTGATCTTCTAAGACATTTGTGATGATCTGGTCTTTTTAAACTTAGTAGAAGCAAATCTGGCTTACCTGTCATAACGCGGGTTCAAAGGAGACTGTCCACCACTACATTTGGGACTGCTTCTAGAAATAGTACTTCCTGGTGAGGTATTTGCTAACCGCTGCAATAGATATATAATGAATTCATAATAAGTTTGATAAACATAATATAAGCATCAAATTCATCATGATTAAAGTGTTCATCAACAAAATGACTACTGTGCATTTTCATGTATATCCAACCACTTATTTTTAAATAAGCTTCATTCTTTAAATAGGGTTAGATGTCCAAAAGCCACCACATGCACCATTTAGGTTCCATTGTTGCCTTAATGCCGGACTTGCTGGCCACATTCAACCATTGAAAAAAAAAAAAAAAAAAAAAAAGGAATTTCCAAAAGGATTATTACATTGATTATGTGTTGTCTACTAGAGTGAAAAAGAAATGTTACTAGCTGAGATAGAATTTGCTTTCCTTGTGTATGTTTTGGGTATGTCAGAAAAAAACTCTATTTTCAATCTTACTGTCCAGTATTGTTGCTGTAGGACCATTATTCTGTCTAAATTATTTTTTGCACTTCCAGTGATGCAGAAGTTTGCCCAATTAATAAAGTTTTTAAGTTTAGAAGGCTTTCTGATACTATAAAAGTTCCAAAAAGGCCCAAAAAAATCCAAAAAAAGCCCAAAAGGTCTGAGTGAGGTCCCCACTATCAACAGTGTCTGTTAATTGTTAGCCTACTGACTTGCCCGGATAGAAGTTGAAGTTAGGTTCAGATTTTGGTACAAAGAAGGCTGTTTTCTAGAAATGTATATTTTCAGTGATGAAGAGCTCCCATATACACAATTCAGACACATTTTCTTTGCTGTGAAAGAAACTGCTAACTTGTTCATCTCATCAGATACAATTGGCTACAAATTCAGTATTTTCTAGAGCATCTAAAGCTTTGCTGGAGCCAAAGCTCTGCTGTTGCACCTTAAAATCTTCTGAAATCCAGCCACACAAATGTAATTCCATAGAAAGATCACTGAATGTAGCTCAGTTTGCTGAGTACAGCTACTCATAACTCATAGCAAAACTATAATTACATACCAATGATCTGTTGAACTTGCTGAAACTGTTTTCAAGTGCAGTTCTTAAGCCATCATTGCTGTCATGTAGTTTTCTATTAGCCGATCTAACAAGGAAATAAAGTTTAACTTATAAAGGTATGATAAATTAACCTTAAAAACTATACAATGTAAGCAAATAAAATTTGAAAAAAATATGCATTTTAAAAGAAAAAGTTTTATTCTGCTGTCAATGAATAGTAAGGATTAATGTGGAATAACAATTTTTTTAAAAAACAAATGACTGAATGTAAAAAAAAAAAAAAAAAAGTGCTGTTAAGTCTTCCTAAATCTTTCTGTAACTAGCAGTGCAGAAAAAAATAGATATGGTTTTAGAAGGCAAGAACACAACATGGATAGGCTACCAAAACCTTGAGTATACAGTAGTTGCCTGGTGCACAACTATGTTATGCTAAAAGGAAAAATCAGAAAGGCAACTAATATCATTCCAAATGAATTCACCCTTTTAAATATATTTGTAGAAGTGGAATCTCGTACATCTTTTTGTTTGATGAAATGAGAAGCTTAAATAAAAACATCTGAAAGAAACACAAAACTCAGATGGAGACAGCCTAGCTCCGTGGTGTTGGAGAACTGGGAGGCAAGAGGCTCAGCTACCAGCAGCAGCTGGCCTTGTGTGGACAGACCTGACATCAGCAGGTGCCCCGTCCCAAGCAGTGGATTTGTCACTGCTGATGATCCATCCCCATTGCACCAATGTATTTTTCATCTCTTATTGGGACTATGCATTCTAAATGACTTCTAATAATTTGCTAATATTTTTCCAAGTCATTCCAAGGGCTGTTATTTCCTGCTTCATCCGCAACAAAAGGAAGCCACTGCTTCCACTGCAGTCATGCTGGTGTGTCAGCACAGCTGAGACAAGCACCATTTTCTACTAATCTACTGGTGATAAGGGGGCAGATGGACTGGATGATCTTGGAGGTCTTTTCCAACCTCAGTGTTTCTAAGATTCTACGATCCTATCTGTCTCAAGTATACAGAACACAAATGTAAGATGAAATTACATAGATCAGCAGACTACTTTCCATGAGAACTGAAGCCATTTTAGTACTTGATTATTTTTCCCAAATCTCATCCCAGTCTTTCGCACAGCTATAGAAATGTTTACCTGTGCCTACATAGAGATTATGTTTGTTAAAAATACATCGGAACAGCCAAGAACTTACTGAAGTATTTCAATTTGTCTTTCCAGATTATCTCTGTCTTCAGTATACTCCCGAATAATTTCTAGGTCTCTAAAATAAATAAATGAATAAATAAATAAACAAATAGATAAATAAATAAACATAAATATAAACATAAACATAAACATAAAGTTACATTTCATAGAAGATTCTTTTTTAAAAATATATATATTTTGTGTTAGACACAGTAGACTTTTTCAAACTATTTCTGAATTAAATTTTTCAGTGTATACATCTCTGCTTTCTAGAATACAGTAAAAGCATTTTTACACAAAATAAAATCATTTTCTAACTTCGTTGATCTTTGCCATATCATCTCAACAAAAACAGCTGATGAAAAGTGAAGGTGAGGGGTGCAGGATGGAGTTATTGGTTTGAGCTGGGCTGGACAGATAGGCCTTGGGCATCCCGTGGGCACCACAAGATGAGGGGCAGAGTCCAAAGTTCAGCAAGCTAAGAATCAGCTGCTTCAGCCTTTTCACAGCATGCCTTGGTTTGAGAGGATGTCATGGTTTCAGCTGAGATAGAGACCTGAATAGTGGACTTTCAGTATAAAGGGGGGCTTTAAGAAGGAAAGAAACAGACTCTTTAACAGGATCTGTTGTGATAGGACAAGGGGAAATGATTTCACACTAAAAGAGGGGAGATTTAGAATGGGTGTAAGAAAAGTTTGTTATGATGATGGTGGTGAAGCACTGGAACAGGTTGCCCAGAGATGTAGTGAATGCCCCATCCCTGAAGACTTTGAAGGTCAGGCTGGATGATACTCTAAGCAACCTGATCTAGCTGTAAGTGTCCCTGTTTAGTGCAGGAGAGTTAGACTAGATGGCCTTCAAAGGTCCTTTTCAACTCAAACAATTCTATGATTCCATGATCAGTGAAATAATCACATTAAAGGATGCACTGCCTCTTAAAATACCTTTTATGTTATATGAAGACAATAGTTTAGTAACACTGTCATAAAGACTCTTCTAAATCAACCTGAATGTCTAGAAGCAGCACTTATTTGCTCTAGTTGAACTAGCTGAGATGGATGTGGAAGGCTTCCCAAACTATTTTTGCTAATAGTAGAGATACTCTTCAGGTTGAAAATCATGGAGGAAAAAACTTGTACTCCTAACTGAAGTCCCCATTAGATTTCCTTGAACAGTTATGAGTGTTTGCATTATGTCCAGACCTAGTTCTTTCAGATATTTGACAAGACAATGAACGGTAGTCATGGTAGACTTTATATGGTGTCAAATATTCAGCTGCCTATGGCAAATTCAGAGAATAAGTTACTGGCTTAATACATTATAACTACATGAAACAAAAGATTCTTTTCCGGGTGAAGGTAATCAAGTAAAAGCATTTACCTTTCTGTGTTTAAAGTCTGATCTGCATATTCACTTTTCAAGCTATCTAGCTCACTCTGGAGAAAAGCGATATTTGTTTGTGCTTCTAAGAGGTCTTTCTTAAGTTTCTGATTTTCCTGTATGAAAGAAAGATATTAAATATTAGCTGTCACAATCATCTCCATAAAATGCTGACATATTGTGATGCTTAAATAAAAACCAACATAATACATAAAAATGAAACACTAGAAAACTCAGCGGAGATGGGAAAAGAGAAATAAACATCAGAGAATTCAGTGAACCAGTAGGCAAGATTCACTGAAATTTGACTTTTGGATTTCACAGTCCCACAAAAGTGGGATTGTACCATTTTAAGCCATTTCTAAATGTGATACCTAGAATGTGCATAAACATTACATAGAATTGCTTTTTCGAAGTTAGAGATCCTCATATAGCTATCAATAACTTTATAAGTTTCTCTCTTTTCTTACTTGTTAAATTATACATTTAATTTAAATTTAATTATTTATTAAATAATATTAAATATTAAAAAAAATAATCTGTATCGCAAGAAAAATAAAACCGAAGCTAACTTAATGTATTAATGATAAATACTTCTTACCAGCAACATATCATTTATTCTCTTTTTCAGTTCAATCACATCTTCCCTGCTATTTATGTTTTTGGATTGCTCCTCAACCTACAAGGATTATAAAATCACCCAATTAACGTACATACTTGACTATTGTCATTCAAAATACATAAAATGTAATTGAAATCATATCAAGTAACCCCAAGAATGTGTTACAGCTAGTAAAGATTTAAAAATCAACAGTATTACCAGCTTTATGAGTAGGGAGCATTATGCCAAAAACTTCTGATCTTCTGTACGATTTTTTACATTAATGCCTTACAAATATTTAATTTCTACTTTGTACTCTGGAATTTGCTACAGGTATTGAATGTGTATAACTTGGAACACAAAACCCAGCAACTGAGAAGACTGTAACAGCTGTATCCCCACTAACATAAATACATATGTATGTATTACTTCATCTACTGTCAATTCTGTATAGTGTATTTATTAAATGCTTTCATGTTTCCCGCGAGGAATTTCCAATTCTATCAGTGCTAATCTAAGTTCAATTCAATGTGAAAAAATAAGAATAAATCCTCAGCGGTTGCAAAAATTCTGGTCAAATTTATATTCATATCTAAGATGCCAATTTACCTTTCAATTGGGCTTTGAATTAATAAGGCTGGAATTAGATTTAGATTAGTATAACTAATTCCAATAGTAATTTCTGTTTAAAATTAGAGCTCAAACTTATCTCAACCATAAAAAATGAAAGAAATGTGCTCACTGCCAAAAACACTGTATTAGTTCAATATACTGCATTTGTATTTCACCTACCACATCACATTTTCATCTACCAATTTCATCTACCACAGAATCACAGAATGGCCTGGGTTGGAAGGGACCTCAAGGATCATCAAGCTCCAACACCCCTGCCACAGGCAGAGCCACCAACTTCCACGTTTAATACTAGACCAAGCAGCCCAGGGCCCCATCCAATGTAGTTTTGAACACCTCCAGGGATGGGGCATCCACAACCTCTCTGGGCAGCCTGTTCCAACACCTTACCATGATCCTCATAGTAAATGTCCTCCTAACATCCAACCTAAATCTTCCCTCCTTCAACTTAAAACCATTTTCCCTTGTCCTGATGTTATCTACCCTTTCAAAGAGTTGATTCCCCTCCTGTTTGTAGGCTCCCTTTAGGTACTGAAAGGCTGCAATGAGGTCACCCCGCAGCCTTCTTTTCTCCAGGCTGAACAAGCCCAGCTCCCTCAGCCTGTCTTCGTAGGGGAGGTGCTCCATCCCCTGATCATGTTTGTGGCTCTCCTCTGGACCCTCCCCAACAGCTCCCTGTCTTTCTTCTACTGGGGGCTCAAGACCTTCACACAATACTCCAGATGAGGCCTCACAAAGGCAGAGTAGAGAGGGACAATCACCTGCTGGTCCCTGCTGGCCATCCCTCTTCTGATGGAGCCCAGGATACCATTTGCTTTCCCAGCTGTAAGAGCACACTGATGACTCATGTTAAGCTTTTCATCCATCAGGACCCCGAGGTCCTTCTCTCCAGGGCTATTCTCAAGGACTGCTTCTCCCAGTCTACATATGCCTAGGATTGCTCCAGCCTAAGTGCAAAACCTTGCATTTTGCTGTGTTGAACCTCATTAGATTCACTCAGGCCCACCTTTCAAGTCTGTTTCTAATTCTATTAGTTACAATCAGGGGCAATATATTAGATGTTTCTAATGTATCACATACAAGACTAGTTAACTGCAGTGGAAATATCTTGATGGATTATTTAGCTAGAAATTTGGTTATATGGTCTCTTCACTATTTATTTCAGTAGTTTATACAAAATGTATACAACAGCACAGAACTACAACATAAATCAAAAAAAAATTATTTTTAGTTGCCATTTACCTAGGCATATAAACTTAGAGGACTACATTTTGCATATCCATCCTGGAGAAGGCCCTTCATATGGTTAGAATCTCTTACACTAAAAATTCAAGTCATGAGTCCAAGCCACTTACCTTTTTAAGTTTTTTTATAGTCACCTGAAGATCCCCAACTTCAGTATCATACTGGCGCTTCAGCTCATTTAGTGCTTCTTCAGCTTTTCGTTTTTCCTATAATATTTGTTTTTTTATTAAATGTTCAGAAAGGTTTCAAATGTTTCTTAAAAGATGCATCTACCAACTTGAAGCTAAACTTGTTTTTCCCAGTAGATTAATGTGCGTAATTTTGTCTTCACACTAAGTCAACTACCCCTTCCTTAGATCTATAGGCACTGGTTCTACTACTATAAAATACACAGAGAAACAAAACATTGAGGTAAAAGCGAAGATATGGGTTCAGCCCTGAATTCAGTGTTTGCTTTCCCATCAGTCTCCTGCTCTTAGCATTTTAAATGTCTTAAACAAAGCCAAAAGAAAAATGTTCAGTTTTTGTTTTTACATGTATGTAGGTGTGTATTATATGTAGAGATGTCTGTACAGACAGACATGCAGGTCAGAGCATTGGACCCTTACTTTCAAAGCAGCCTTTTGAGATGTGGGATACAATATGCTAGTAACAGCACTACTGTGCCACTATTAGTTACTCATTTACTTCAATTTTTTTTGCTTGCAAGCATTTCACTATTACAGGCCCACATTTGGCGAAAAACATGCTGATGGTAGCATCCTTAGTCATGGGAGTTTCACACAGCAATTGATCGTAAACCAGCTGCAGTATTGGGGAAATCATTTTAATTCAAAGAGACGTGGGACTAGGAAAAAGACGACTTTAGGACTGATAAGAAAAGCATGTACCCAGCTCTATCTAGCACTCCTGGGTGTGGAGGTGTATAGTTCACAGGACAGGGGGACAGATGGCAGCAGTAGGACATGCTACCAGACTGGCAGGCTGTGCTTCCAAACAAGAGATGGCAGATGTGGACTTTGTTCAGAATGCAGTCAGATGCTGACATCCGTGTGTTAAAATGATAATCAGCCAAAGTAATCAGCTTAAGCTGGATTCTCTGACTGCTGGCCCCTGTACCAGACTCTTACGTATTGTTGGTAACTATTTGCTTCCCTGAAGAAATAAAACAGAGGATAGGCTCATGCTGCAGATACCATCACACAGAGGCAGGTGTCACCGTGGCGTGAGATCACTCTCACAATTGAGCAAACAATAGTCATGAGTACAGGCTGTAAGATTAACGGCTGAGCACAATCCCACAAAGTAAATATCTTACATTTACTCTCAGGGCGTTTTAGGAGGTGGAGTATGAGGAGCTATGAGCTACAGAAAATGTGTATGAGTGAAAATGAGAAAAGCACTGTGGGAAACAAGTCACAGCCCATCTTTGATATCTGGGTGTGAAAACTCCATCCTAGTTCACTGACAATCTGAAAACTAACACTGATAAAATCTGCAACTTGCTGCCCTGCCATTTCTTGACACTTCAATCCGAAGTCTAGACCTACCTTAAGCACTGCAAACTACAAGGCATTTTGTTGCATCATGAGGGTCCTTTTTAGAAACTAAAACATGTACAGATAACAGATAGCAGCCTTTTATGTAAGGATCACACCTAATTGCAATGTTCTCAGACTCAACAAATGCACGCATCCAGATCATCTTTTTACAGTAGAGAATAAGATTTACAGGGCTTTTTCCAGTGATTATGTGGAGAGCGTGATTGAGACCTGGCTGGCTGAGAAAGGCCACACAGACAGTATTCGGCTAATGAGACGAGAGTCCTTGAGCAATGTAACAGGATGTAAACAAGCCTAATGAGGAGAGAGTCCCTGAGCAAAGTAACAGGATGTGTAGGAAGGTAGGAGAATGTAGAAATAAGAAAGATTAATGGCATGGTCTAATCACAAAAAGTACAAAGAAGGACTGGGGCAACAAGTAGCTGAAGAGCCTATCAGGAGCTTGAGCTTTGCAATATGTATGAGCTTCATTAGCGCCAACATAAATGCACGCAACCTTCTGATTAAAGTTGAGACCTTCTGATCAATTCTGTGGTCGTGTGTTTGTCTCCCACAGAGCTCCGACATGATTAACCACTTCATGCAGAACAGAAATTTTCCAAAGAAAATGCCTATGTTTTCTAAATAAAAATGCATATTCTCCATGGGAATAGTAAGTTTTTCTGTTCTGAAAGTTTCATTGTAATTAGTTAAATATTTTTATGTTATTCTGCTGGAATGGGATCTTTTTCATGCTTTGTATTTTGTTAGTAGGAAAACAACAGACTTTGACAGGAGGAATGTTTCCTCTCGTACAGAAAAAACATTTGAAGCAAATCTGTCAGAACACCATTTTCCTTCACAGCTCAATTGCTAAGAGATATTTAAATTTGCCCCACTGGCTGACTGCACTTCATTGCTTCCTATTTTGCAAATGCTTCTGTGAAAGAACACATACCAAATATGTAAAGGTTCAGTAGATAGTTTTTGCTACCAAATTAATGATCACGGCTAGAATAAACATTTTAACTAGTGAACTTCTTTCATCCACATTAGAACACTTTGCATTAACTGTTGCTCTTACTACTTACTATCTATATGGTATATCACATAAATCTAGGAACACTTCAACAGGAAGCAGGCAAGACAGAGCAATTTTCTTATACTGCTTTCTGCTTCGAATTAGACAGACACTTGTGGTTCTACTCAAGTTTTCAATATGAGAGGGGAAAGAATTCTTGTACTTTGCATGAAGACTGCAAGTGAGCTGAAACAACACTAAAAACTGAGTACACTGAAACAAGTGAACTCCCAATCAACTGAGAGGTCCAGGCCCTCACACGCTGTTATCACAAACACCCTCTCTCCTCTAGAATTCTCCAAACAACAACTGCAGGATCAGAATGCATCAGCAGGGGAAAGAAGGATTACTGTTTCAGTCAGATGAAAAAATGAGGAATAAATGATCTGAATCACAGAATCACAGAATCATAGGGGTTGGAAGAGAGATCATCTAGTCCAACCCCCCTGCCAAAGCAGGTTCCCTACACCAGGTCGCACAAGTAGGTGTCCAGGCGGGTCTTGAATATCTCCAGAGAAGGAGACTCCACAACCCCCCTGGGCAGCCTACTCCAGTTCTCCATCACTGGAAGTTCTTGCACACATTTGTGCGGAACTTCCTATGCTCCAGTTTCTGGCCATTTCCCCTTGTCCTGTCTCCACACACTGCTGAAAACTGTCCGGCCTCGCCACTCTGCCCCCCAAACCTTAGATATTTATAGACCTGGATCAGGTCTCCTCTCAGTCTTCTCTTCTCAAGGCTAAACAGACCCAGATCACCCAGCCTTTCCTCATAGGGGAGATGCTCCAGAACCTTCACCATCTTTGTGGCCCTCCGCTGGACTCTTTCCAAGAGGTCCCTGTCTTTTTTGTACTGAGGAGCCCAGAACTGGACACAGTACTCCAGATGAGGCCTTACCAGGACAGAGTAGAGGGGGAGAATCACTTCCCTCGACCTGCTGGCCATGCTTTCTTTAATGCACCCCAGAATGCCATTGGCCCTCTTGGCCACAATGGCACACTGCTGGCTCACAGCCAACCTGTCGTCCACCAGGACACCCAGGTCCCTCTCTGCAGAGCTCCTCTCCAGCAGGTCATCCCCCAACCTGTACTGGTGCATGGGATTATTCCTCCCCAGATGCAAGACTCTACACTTGCTTTTGTTAAACCTCATCTGAGCATTAACTACTTAAATTCTTCCATTTTTAGAAGCAGATTCCATCATTTTCTGGTGAAATGCTACTTTTCTTTTCTAATCAGTTACCAACACTGTTCTCAGAAATAAACTCCTTTGCATGAAAATTTTCTTACAAAAGAGCTTGGTTTCTTTTCTCATTTTATTTCTGAGCAGCCAATCCCCTCTGGGTAAGCATTATGAGAATACATTTCCCACCTCATGGGTAGTTTCTTTTTGTCCAGGCCCTGTTTACAGTGCCTTTGAGTTAGCCTAGCAGTATCAAAAACTCACCCAGCCATTAATCCTGTATAAACCCACTGAGAGCTTGGTCACTATGAAATTGTGCAAACAAAAAATACTCACTTCCTTTTTAACTTTTTGCTCAGCAGCCTGTATCCGTTGTTCCATCTCTTCTTCCAGCTCACTGAGCTGAACTGCTGCTTTATCCTGAGCTCTAAAATGTAAAGGTAAATATTGTTTTAGAAATTGCCCTGTGCCTTGACAGAAAATTGTGTGAAATATGTTTGCTGAAATGGATAAGATAGACAAACATGCGAAAGACGTTTAACAATGAAAACAATTTTAAACAATGTTTAACAATGATCAGACCTTGAAACTGATGTGGTTGGGAACCAAAATCACAAATCACTTTGAAAATACATGCAAATTAGATTTTAAATTATAGCTGATAGCAGATGATTAGTGTGAAAGATATCACCTATTGAAAACTAAGTTACAAAAATAAAAGGCCCCTCTGGTTATCCTCTGACAAGGCTGTAAGACAATAATGACAGCAACCTGCATCATCTATCCTGTCCTGAGCTAATCTCCTTGAAGCTGGGGAAGCAAAATTATGTTTTTTAAAATGAAATTGTAATGGGAGTGGATACCAAACCACAAAGTCACAGATGTGAAGAGTAATCAAAATGCTTAAGACATTAGATGTAAGAACAATCCTGCCCAAAACATGAACAGGGAATACTTACATAAATGTGTGTGCATGTAAACAACTTCTGAACTCTGTTTATAAAAATTCTATTTGGCATATTTTAGTACTAACAAACAGCAGTTTAATCCACCCAGAAAGAATAAACAGAAAAGTAACTGCATAAATGAACTAGAAGCAAGACTCAAAATACCTTTTTACAGCAATGGCCAAGGTTTCCATCTCTGTGCTTTGAAGTTTGATCTCTCTGATGAAGTTCTTAATGACATGCTCGTACGGCTGGATTAATCTTGGTTCCACTATGTGTATGTTCTGATACAGAACACTGACTTGCTCCTGTCTGAAAAAGATAGTTTTTTAACATACTTAGTTGGAACAATGCCCTGTAGAGGTTTGAAAAATGCTATAAATTGAAGTGTGCTTTTTTATTGCCTATTTTTTAAATTTAATAAGTACAGACTTTGAATATACAGCAAAGATACATCTGAATCTTCATGATTTTTATCCCTTCTATTTTTTTAACATAGCTACTGCAGAAAAACTTTTTTTTAGCTTAAGTAACTTTTTTTACTTGTATTTGTGATACACTGAAGAGTATGGCACTGGAGCAATCCATAATATAAATCAAAATTGTTGGTGGCTATAATGATAAACTGCACGCTGTGGAGAGGTTTACTGATATAAGAAAGTGAATTAAAAAAAAAAAAAAAAAAAAAAAAAAAATGAAAGGGGATAAGAAAACTACTACCTAAGTTAAAAAAAAAAAAAAAGACAGTGACATCACTACAGGGAGTAAAATGAACAGAGAAAAACAACCTAGCAATAATATGGAAATAAACACAGCCTGCAAAATTGGACGTTAAGAAATACTACTTTTCCAAAAGAGTGGCCAAGTGTTTGAACAGGCTGCCCAGGGAGGTGGTGCAGTCACTGACCCTGGAGGTGTTTAAAGAATGTTTAGATGTTGTACTGAGGAACATGGTTTAGTGAGAACTGTTGGTGATAGGTGAATGGTTGTACTGGATGATCTTGTAGGCCTTTTCCAACATCAGCAATTCTTTGATTCTATGAACTCACCTGATAGATGTTAAAGCTACCCATGGAAGCTTGGAAGAAAATATAGCTACCCACATAAAGCTCCCTTAGCTACTCCCTTAGCTAGTTCTTCACATTTCATATATGAATAACCTGATGGGAATTGTAGCAGAACAGTGAACATAGCTCTCTCATTTAAAACAAATTATTTTGGTCCTGATGTCTACAACTCTAACAATGACAACCTTGTTTTACATCACAAAAAAAAATTCTTTTTGGTAAAAAGTTAATTCCATGTATGACTCGTGTGGAAGACTCATAGCAGTAGGAAAAAAAGAAAAAGGTCTCTGCAGATCCTTGAGTAATTAAAAGCTCTCTTGAAATTTATACTGCTTCTTGAAGGCTGCTCCAATGCAAGAATAAAATATTCTGATTCCTATTTGATCAGGACTCGTTTCAAGTGACTGTAGACAGTTTTAATTGTCAGTTACAATTTGATTGTTGATAAGATGCAGAGATAAGTAATAGCATAAGCACCAAAATATTGTAACACGTATTATCAGATAAACAGCTCAGATTTCTGGTCACAAAACAGTATACCATGTCACAGCTTGTGTTACATGGCACTTCCATAAGGCAATTTCTAAGAGAAACTTCTACAACAAAGTTCAGTAATTCCAAGGACAAGCAAAGCTGGCTGCTATGCAGGCAAAATACGAAAACATGAGCAAGTATTCAAGAGCTTACAGACGAAACAAAGTGGAAAAAAAAAGCAAAAAGAGAACAGGTCTACAAGTGTGCAGGAAGCAGATCTGTAATGAGGAAACACAGCATACCAGCTGCAGAAAGGCAAACAAAAATAATGTTTTGCAATTACTGGTCCCACAGCATTTATAACACATCATGAATGCCTGTCCTCTTTTTATTGTTACAGGAAAGCTTAACCTTTGATTTAAAGATATTCCTTGTTAGACAGCTAAAATTTTCCTATCTTCCATAAAGGTAGTGATGATTAACCCATTAACTACAACCGTGACTTCACAGTGATTGAAACACTTTTACAGTTGAGATTATCAGCATTCCAGAACTTTGTATATTCTACATGATTTTCCCACTGAAAGTATAACTTCTTTTACTCAACAGCAGTACAATTGTTTTAGCTCAGAGTCCTATTTTAAACAACTGAAATACTTCAAGAAACTATAAAATCTGTTCTTAGCTGAAATGCAGATGTTTAATGTACAGAAACATAACAATAGCTCTATACATAAAAATACAGATTTTCTAAGGCCAGGGGAATTTGTGTGTACATGCCAGTTTCTCTCTTGCAAAGAAAGGCTTCTGTTTTAGGTCTACTTATCATCTCCAGAAGTTAATTTAAACTCAACACAGTACTCTATGTATACAATTTCATTTTCATAACATACTTAAACAGAGTAATATTAAGATTTACAGGTAGGTACAGTGTATGTTTACTTGATATTTCACCTTAAAAAAACAGTCACAGACATTTTCCTTTTTCAACCACAGTCATTAAAACAACTCCAAGATAAATACTCACACCAGGATAAAAAAAAAAAAAAAAAAAAAGAAAGTCTTATCTCCTCAAATATGCATTCTTTTTTCTCTGTACTACATTCAGAGGTACGTGAGATTTCTGCATTGAAGAATTACTGCACAGAGAATTTCAGCATGGTTCTGATGACAGTAAACACAACAAAATACATTGGTGATTCATGTTCAGCATATCCCAGTTAAAATGCAAGTATAAAGCAGATTTGTAGTATTTAAACAATGACTTCCAAGTACAAGCAGCTGGACAAACAGTAAGTTTAGTGTCTCGAGGTGATACCATTTATAGCATTCCTACCGTACTTCCATTACTGTTGATTAGCCTTGAAGCTGGAGCATGACTGTACTTTAAACATTACAGAACGCAATATCTCATAATCCCTCTATTTGAAATTCCATTTATTTAGATAGCTGGGTATAGTAACATATGCTGCATTTCATGAATTCTTAGCACTTCAGCAGTTGTCCTTCAAAGCTGCAAACACGTCACTAAAACAGCTAACAAACTATTCCAGTATAATTTCAGATTTCACATAGAAGCAGCTGCTGTGCATCTTTGGAACTAGCCACTGAAAAATGCCACTTCTTACAGCATAGGTGTCCACAAACTTCTTTAACAGTGTGGTGTGTTAAACAGCAAGATGGGCAGAATCCTAGCATCATAGAATGATTTGGGCTGGAACGGACCTTTTAAGATTATCCAGTTCCACCCCTCCACTTCTAAAGGCATTGACACTTCCCTCTAGACCAAGCTCTTCAAAGGCCCATCCAGCCTAGTCTTGAACACCGCCAGGGAATTCACAGCCTTTCTGGGCAACTTGCTCCACTGTCTCAAAAAATTTATTCCTAATATCTAGTCTCAATTAGAAGTTATCTATCTTATATGGCAGATACACTCAGCACAATCTGAGCCACTGGAACAGGTTCCCAGAGAGATGGTGGATGCTCCATCCCTGGAGACACGCAAGGTCAGGCTGGACAGGACTCCAAGCAGCCTCACCTAGCGGTAGTGTTCAGTGCAGAGGAGTTGGACTAGATGACCTTTAAGAGTCTCTTCCAACTCAAACAATTCTATGGTTCTATATATGAATTTAAGGAATAAAAAACATAAACACAAGATCTGTGTTATAAAGTTATATTTTTACCTTCAATTTCAATGTTGGCAAGGAGATGTCTACTAACAACTTATTTCCTAGAAAGCAAACAGTGGCAAAACTCATTTTACCTGATACTAAGACAATTTGTTACCTGAGCAAATGTTTACCTGAGCCTTTTCCAAATCACAAGTTACTAAATTGTGGTTGGATAATTAAGGACATATATCACCTTTTTCACAAGCACTTAATCTTTCTCACCTCATCTTACGCAGGGTTAGTCATTTGCTGCCTTCAGATAACAATGAAACCTTATCCATAAAACTACACAGTATGTCAGTCTGTACTATGAGTCCAGGGATAAAAAACAGCACATGCCTATCACCAGAAATCTCTTGCCTTGTGGACTGGCTGTAGCACATGAGAAGATGCACTGTCTTACACTGAGAAACTGGAGAAACAGCCATTAGTTTGGCCTTTCCCTACAGTGTTCTAGAATCAAAAACATCTTTGATTGCAAGGAATATTGTAAAGAATTTGTGCAATCTTTATTCTCTTTATAAGAATGTTTGTCACTCTCCCTTGCAGCTTTTTTTAAAAGCTTATGCTAATATAGATACCAGACCTGAAGATGAAAATTAGTCTCTCCACTCCGCTGTGCCCCTGCCAGACCATGTCTGCTTGCTTTAAGATGCAGTAGTAAGAAGCAAAAAATAGTTACTATGAGAGTTAATTCTGCCTGTGTGATAAAAGAAAAATCTTGTATTTATTATTTCTCCTCAATCCAGTGACTGACTATCACACAGATGGACTCAAAATATCTGTGACCTTGTTTTATGAGGGTTAGAAAACAAAACAAAGCCCATTGAAATACAACCATGCAGAATCCTGGAAAGCACCTGCAAGGCTCTTTTAATCTCAGATTGGCCAATGAAACTACCAGTGACAATCTCCCAAGTACTTCTATTGCAGCTTTACAGGAAATCTTAGTTAAAAACATGACTCAACAACTGATGTAAGCAACAGAAAAACAGGAGAAATCAGTCATGCAACAAAATTGATGGAATGCTACTTAAATGCTTATGCCTTCCAGTACCTAAAGGGGCCCTACAGGAAAGCTGGCAAGAGACTTTTTATTAGTGCATGTAGTAGCAGATCAAGGGGAAATGGTTTTAAACTGGAAGAGGATAGATTTAGACTAGATGTTAGGAAGAAATTCTTTATTGTGAGGGCAGTGAGACACTGGGACAAGTTGTTCAGTGAGACTTTGGATACCCAGTCCCTGGAGGCATTCAAGGCCAGGCTGGATGGGGCTATGAACAATCTGATCTGCTGGGAGGTGCTATAGTAGGGGGTTCAAGTAGATGATCTTAAAGGTCCCTTCCAACACAAACCATTATATGATTCTGTGATTCTAAGAGAAATTGTTGTTAATCATTTCTTCCTACATTTTAAATCACTTCTATTTTCACATGCTTTACTAATTATTAGTAATGCCACTGCAGCAGAGCAAAATGATTGCAATGGACATTGCCAGATGTATTTGTATGTTTCCAGCTCCCACTGAATACATACTATTTCTTTTTGCATATTTGTTAGTTATTCAAAATTATTTATTGAGGAAGATTTCACAAACAGA